TCATAAATTTAGGTAAGATTCTAATAGTCAAGGATCAATACAACCAGAAGTCTGCATCAAGATTTGAATTAATTTCTAGGGAAATCAGACTATAAAACATAGAATGAGACAGTTTACTAATAAAGTTCTTTTGTTTTTCCTCCAAATACACCACTTACATTTTTCCACCAGAATATCAGGCAAACGAATGAGACAGTTCAAATCTGTAGACACTATGAAGGATGTCTATTGCAGAGGAAAACCCTGGTGGGTGTCTCCTATGCTTCTGTCTGATGCCAGCCAGCCAGAGAAAATAGACAGTAGCAACCAAGACAATCCATATCTATTCAGGGACAAGGAGTCAGGGAAAAAATTTTTCCCATAGATCTGTCAAGTTCAGGTGCAAGATGTACCTATGTTCTTTTATCTATCTTTAACCTAATTTCTGCTTTCTCTTTTAAAGAGTCTCTCAACCAACATCAAGAAGAGGAGGTGGGGATTTCTCTGTGGAGAATGATTCACTCTTTTTCTTCCCAAGCTATCGCGGACCTTCTAGAAGCAGAGAATCCAACTCTGTTCCTAACGGGGCTTTCTATTGTTTCGGGCTATTGACAAGGACTGAGGCTTGACAACATCTCTAGTCATGCACAGGCATTTTCTGGAAAATGAATAAGGTTTACATACAGCTATTTATTAGAAGGCCCCTGTAGGCAGCGATGGTGTCAGCTGCCTTGACTTCTCTGCAAGAGCCATAGGATGGGCTCTAGAGGGTGTCAAATACGGTCTCTCTGCAGGCCATGGCTCAGCTTCCGGAAGGCCTCCTGATGTTTGCCAGTCTCTCCATGTCGGACCATCATCTCCTTCACCTGAGGCCTCCTCAGCTAGGTTATTCCTTTTAGTTCAGGGTATGCCGTGTTTCCTGTGAGGTCTAATCATATCGCTTTTCTTCCTATTACCTTAAGACAGTTGAAAGACGGGGAGTGGAGTGAGCAAGACCATCTGCTTCTCTCTTAATTCTCTTTCCAGGACACAGACTCCATGCCCTCCTTTCCTCTACATTTGATTTCCCCAAATTTGCTTTATCGAACGTAAATGTTATTAAAATCCCTAACACTAAGATCAAGCAACAGAACGAAAACAGAGCCCAAGAAGTTCTCCTGTGCCCCCCTCCAGTCACTGTCACTCAAAGAATAACTAATATTCGGATTTCTAACACCACGTATCACTTTTGCTGACTTTTGAGTTATACAGATTCGTGCTAGAATGAAAGCCAGGGTCTTGTGCATGCTAGGCAAGTGCTGCACCACTGAACTACATCCCCAACCCTTTTCATTTTAAGACAGGGTCTCACTAAGTGATTTCAAACTTGCAGTCTTCTTGCCTCAGCCTCCCAAATAAGTGAGATCACAGTCATATACCACCACGACTGGCTTGGCATCTACTCCTTTATAAATGCATTTTTTTATTCAATATTATTTTTGTAAAATTCATCAATATTACTGCATATAGTCATAACTCAAGAAATGAAATTTAATAAAGTACCTTAACTATTCTTTCTATTTGCAATTTTTACCTCAATCCAAAGTCACTGGGCAGCAAGGCAGATACTTGTGATAAAAAGAAAAAGGATTGAAGTGATCAAGGAAACAAAGAATCAAAATTAATATTTCAAGATTTTATTATCTAAAAGTTTCAATTTTTAAAACTATCAGTTTAATTTTTTGGTAGCGTAATTACATTGTACATAATTTTGTTCTAGTCATTGAATGTACATATATAATATCATGTAGATTATTTTAACACATTTATGTTTTTACAGCCTTATATAGATATGACTGACATGCAGTGAACTCCACATCTTAAAATTTACAATCTGGTGAGTCTGACATATGTAATTCTTGAAACTATCTCCACAATTAATATTATAAATATATTCATCACCACGTAAAGTTTCTTCATAATGCTTTGCAATTCATGCTCCTCCTTGACTTCCATCCTTTCTCAAAGCAATCACTGATCTTTTGCTTTCTGTCACTATAAATTATTTTGCATTTTATAGAATTTTACATGAGTGACATCATATAGACAAATTAAAGACAACTATAAATGCATATGTAGTATGCATTCTTTTGTCTGGCTTCTTTCATTCATTGTAAGGATTGTGAGATTTATTCACGTTGTTGCACGTACCAGCGGTTCATTACTTGTTGGTGCTGTGTAGTACTCCATTCCATGGATATACCAGAATTTGTTTATTCATTCATTTGTGGGTGAACTTTTGGGTAGTTTCTATTTTTGGAGCTGTTATACTACTAATAATAATCTAGTGATATCTTCTACACTTGTTTTTCATTGGGCATATACTCTACTTGTTCAGCCTAGTCTCCCTGACTGCTGGGCCCTACTTTGTTTTCCCTTGGGCTTTGAAGGAGAAATAGGAAAATTCAAAATTGTGAATGGAAATATCAAAGCTGCTGTGTCAGTGATTGATTGAAGACATAAGCTAAACATAAATACAATGATAAAAGAATTGAAAAATAACTAACAACCTATTTGCATTTATAGAGCCCTCTACTCAACAGCGAGAAGATACACATTGTTTACAACTACATGTAGAATATTCACCAACATAGGCCCTATTTTAACAATAAAATAATAAATTCAATAAGATCAAAACCATAAAAAGTGTGTTCCCTGACTGAAACGGAATTAAACTACAAATAAATACCGGAAGGATAGCTGGATGGAAAGTTCCCAAATACATGGAACACACTTTTAAATAACCCATAACTTGAAGAAGAAATTATAAGGGAATTTAGAAAATTATTTTAATTTCCTGAGAATGAAATACAACATATTAAAAATTCTGTGGCATGCAGCCAATACAATACCTTCAGGAGAATTTATCTCTTTTCAATACTTATATTAAAAAAGAGGAAAGATCTTAAATTATTAAGGGAACTCTCCCTTAAATAATCTAGTAAAATAATAACAAATTTCATCCAGATTAAACAGAAAACAATGAACTAATAAGGATGTGCACAGAAATAATGGCACAGAAAACAACAAACAGTAGATAAATATCAAGGAATCCCAAAGCTAGTTCTTTGAAAAGATCGACAAAACAGATAAACTACTAGCCAAACTGATCAAGGAAAAAGAAGACCCAAATGGCTTTAGAAACAGAAAAGGGAATATAACTAAAGATTTGTCTGTTACTCAAATAATATTAATATTATATGAAATTTCAAAGGATTATCATTGCCAAAAAATTTTAAGTGTAAAACTGGAGGCCACACATTACCTGAGTTCAAAGCTTATTATAATGCTATAATGAACATGATGGTGTCATATTAGCATATGGAGAGACATATCAACCCACAGAACAAAATATAAAGTTCAGAAATAGTCACATACAAATATGGTCAACAAATTCTTAACAAAAATATCAAGGTAATTTCAACAAGAGAGAGAAACAAAAAGTCTTTTCAACAAATTGTGCTAAAACCATTGGATATGCATATGCAAAAAATAAATATCCACCATGACTCCACAATATATACAAAAATTTATTCAAGTTGGGTCATAGACATAAATATAAAACTGAAAGTATGATGCTTCTAGGGAAAAGATGAGAAAATCCTTGTGTTCCTGGAGTGGACAAAGCCTCTGTTATAAAAAGTAGAAATGCAAGTCGTTCAGTTACTGGGAGAAAGTAAATGCAAAGTGTGTATTTGATAAAGGATTTCTATTTGGATACATAAAAGTATCTAAAAGAAGGAAGGAGGAAATGATGGAAGGAAGGATAAGACAAGACCAAAAACAATCTAAATATCTATCAACAATAGAATGGACAAATAGATGGTGACAGAATCTTATTGTGAAATACTATAGAACAATAAAAATGAATGACCTGTACACAACAAAAAAAATAAGAATTAGACAAGAACATAATTTTGAGTGAAATAAAATCATGAGGCAAAAAATATCATTTTATTGTATTTATTTAAATTTCAAAACCTGGCCAAGCTAAATTATGAGCTACCTAGGGATATTTAAATTGGTATAAATCTCCAAAGAAGGCAAAAGAATGATCAGCATATAATTTATGATATTTATCACTTACTATTCAGTGAAAGGAGATTGTTTTCATAAGTTTGTGGCATATAAGAGATCCTAAAAAATAGTACCTCTCTGTCTCCTAGGCTTGGTGGTATGTGTGTAGGTGTTCATTTATTGTCCATTGACGTGTGCATGTTCATGGGCACTCACTCTTTTTATGTACTCCATATAGGTTTCTAGTTTTAAAATTGCAGGTTCCAAGGATCCAAAACCAAGTATCCCAATTCGCTAGGTTAGAACAGCGCCAAACAGTCTGCATTTTTACCAAGTTCCCATGGTCATTTTGATAAAATTTTGAGTATTTATGTTGTTTACATAGTTTGAGGTCTTCCCCTTGTAACTTGGCATTTGGAAAAGAGATACAGCATAAAGGAGGCAATTTATAATAAACAAACAGACCACCCTTCTAATTCCAGGAATCATCTCTTTACTGTACAAAGAACTAAACATTTACAAAAGAAAATCAAAAGAAGTTGCATTTTAAAACTACATTAGAAAGTTACACAAGGGTCTGATAAACAAACATCATAAAACATCTCCGTACCATGTCAGTACCATAAAGAGAAATCCAGTCAACCATCATACCAGAGGTTGAGGTATTCAGTACCTGAAAGTCAACCCAGTGCCCTCTTTGTCATTTGCCTATAAAAAATATAACACGTGGGCTTTTTTTTATAAAACACGAATTATTGTCAATGAACTTCATGGGAATAAAATTTTGTTAAAGAAATGAAATATAAGAAAAATCACATAGGTCAGCTGCCAGTCAATAGTAAATATTAAATTTTCCTAAGATGCATTAAGTTATAACAGTGAGTCCCAGCAACACTGTTGAAGTATTTCATAATCTGAATATAGGGTGTTGCTATTTCAAGCAAACTTGTTATGGCATGATTTATTTTACATATGTACAAATTATGTTATTATATGTACATATCAGGAAAGCTCTGGAGTCATCTCATCTCTCCATGCCAGTGACTTTTCAAGCAGAATGTTTTCTGTTGGTCTCCTTCTCACAACAAGGGGCCCAGGCGGCCATTTCTTTCTGTTTTCAATACATCCCCGGAAGTCTGAACTCTCAGTTCGTTGCTTTTCTTGTGGAATGATTTGGAGTTATAAACAGTATCTCTGGTTGAACATTTCAAATGTAAGCTACACTTTTGATTTCTGTGCTTCTACAAGACTGTATGACCCTTTCATGTTGGCCTTCCTTGCAAAGTAAATGATCATTCCAATGGCAGGTATTATCAAGGAGGATGCACAATAGAGCACGAGAAGTTCAGGAGAAAAATAGTCCTTGGTATTGTCTTTTCCTGGAAAAAAAAAAAACAATTGGATGTAATTAATGCTTAGTACAAAAAGAAATTGTTTAATCAAAAGACATGTCTTACTGTGACAGTACAACTAGTTCTCTAGAGAGGGAATCAAAGCAGTGATATGGAATATCATCAGGACCCCAAATGCATACTCCTCTAAATTATCCAAATGGTTGGTGGCTGGTTGTTATGATCATGAAGAATCTAAAGATGATAGCTGTTGACTTTCACAAACTTGGGTTAAAAAAGATTCAATTTTAGGGGTAAAATAGAAAAGAGGGTCCTTTATAATAACAGGAATTAGAGAGAGAGAAATAGAAGTATCTGCCAAAGTACTGGGACTCTGATTACCATAAACTGAAATGATTAACCAATTCTCCAAGAAAATCCTCAAACCATTTAAAGTAACTACCAGAGTCAAACACCATGAATAGGACAATAAGAGGAAGAATTCTTGCTGATGTGTTTTTGGGGGTTTTGTTTTTGAGATATATATATTTGTTATAGAAAGGCCTTGTCTGATCTATATCTCCCCTAATCTAAATAAGAACCTCAACATCCACTCTCAAAATCTACCCACCACACTTCCCCTTCATAGCCCAATCCCAGTTGGTAATTAAGCCTTCATCCACAAGCTTATCTGTCCAATGTGGTTTCCTCTTCTGACCTGTTTTTCTTCTGGTCCACCACTAGAAGAGCTCGCACTTCAACTCCCCAGTTGGCATAATTGCTGCCCCACCCAAAATATTATTGAACACTAAAAAGCTTTTTTTCTAAATCCTATCATTTTGCCATTCAGTTGTAAATGAAGTACAGATGATAGTATTCCAAAAAAACATTTAAATTTGTATTCTTTTTAATCTATTAAAAATCATCTGGCAGATGCAGTACCACTTAACATCTGAACCTCACAAGAACATCTGAAGAGCAGAGCATGGCATCTACTGGGGACTTGCTTGTTTATACTCAGCTTGGACAGCATCGTATAACCTCACAATTAAGTCTCACCAAGTGGCATATATGTTGGTCAGTCCCAACAGGAATTAGTGACCTGACTTTGATCATCACTGAATTCCTTCTAGAGCTTTCTAAACACTAAAAGTTATCCAAGTAGAAAAGAACCATTAGCATCAGATGATGGGAAGTGAATGTTTGCAAGTTATTGAAGAAAAAAAAAACACTTCACCCTAAACATGATGATAATTGTTTTTCTACTTTTCCTTGCTAACATTGAGCTAGTCAAAGTATAAGGGTACTATTTTAATGGGCTATTTATCATCATAATTGTGGTTAGGCATCAATATTGATGAGAAGATGGGTAAAGGTATTTGTGTCCCTATTATTTTCCTTTCAATGTGGAAATAATCCTTTATTTTTTGCCTCTCAGTTTTTCCCTCAGGCATCTACAGAAAAACTCAGATTTGCTGCTAAGTCAGTTGCTAGGTCAAGCTTCTGATAACATTTTCTATTAGTATTATCAACACTGAAAATTTTTAAGAGGGCTGACCATTTCTATTAATGTAATACATTCAAGCCAAAACAAAAGAAAATAATTTAAAAACTAAGCTAAATGAAAAGGAAAACTACTTCAAAATATCTAGAAAAAATGTCAATTTTTTTGGTCTTCATTCATATCCAGCTATTTTAAACCATATTCAGTTTGGAGGCATGCATTTCCAGCTGAGTGCCTAATAGCCTTTGTTTATTGAAATAATAAGAAAACAGTGGCAAACATATAAGTGGTTAATAATTCAACTAGGAAAAAAACCCAAGCTTTAAGGTGTCTTTTTAAAAGAACAATTAATTACAAGCATAATCACAGAAATGTTAGGAGTTCACTTTCCTGAAGCTAAGCTAAATTAAAGGTGGCCCAAAACATAAAGGATTGAAGAAACAGGAATGGATTAATATCAACCTACATATAACTGAGATCTCGTGTTCAGACATATTCCCAACCTCATTGGAAGCACTGATTACATATACACTGCATCATTTGAGTGACATGATACAAGGTAAATGTTCCATTATTTGAACACATAGTAACTTCAATTACCAGATTAACTCTTTTCAGGATAATCACTGCAGGTGGATGACTAAAAGTTTTACATATAATTATGTTATTTTCCCCTTCTTTAACATTTCTAGATGGATATATTTATATTGCTGTGTTTCGAGGAGGTAATGTAAAGACAGAAAAATACATGGTATGGCTTGTAATCTTGAGAAATTTTGCCAGATTAGTAAAAAGTTTGTTTTTTTGTTTTTTTCCTGTTTTCTGACTTAGGTTCAAACTTCCTTTAGTTTGACAAGTGGTTGCTAACCCTGGTGGCCAAGTGCCAAACCTCCTAAGAGGTGACTTTTGTTTATAGCCCTGTTCACTTCAAGGCCAAGTATAATATTCAATACTGAATAGGGGCTCATTAATGTGCAAGGAGTGTAAGACTGATTAATCAAAGCTGACACGTTCTGCTTACACCAATAAGATCAATGCATCCTACCTACTGCGCATTCACAGGAGAGGGTAGGAGATCAAGGGGCCCTGAAGTTTCTCAGAGAGACCATTGCGCGCATGCTCTCTCCCTCTCCCCCTCCCTCTCCCTCTCCCTATCAGAATAAGATAGATAGTGGGGCTTAGGAGGCTGTTCTGAAGACTAGAGTTTTCATGTAGTTGTTGTTCAGGATCAAGATTGCTACTGCCAATTATTTCCTGAAAAGAATCAATCCAGAAAATAGGCAGTTACTCCATGTTCAGAAAATAGCATTCCCTTCTGGTAGAAAGGAAGAGGATCTGGATAGAATTTTTATTTTCTCTCCCTTTCTCCCTTTCTCTCTCTCTCTCTCTCTCTCTCTCTCTCTCTTTCTTTCTGCTAATCCTACCTCCATGGTTTCCTTATAACCTCCAGTGAAAGGTTTTGAAAATATGGTTAAACACTTAGCAAATATAAGACCTCAGAGACCAATGATGAATTAATTGTCAACTTTGAAAAAAACAAATGGGAATTCCACATTCACCAGTGATTAATGTCAACTTCCTGGTTTAACTATATAGGATAGAACACCTGTGCTTGATTATTTCAAGAAACATTAAGAAATAACCACACACGACACAGAATTCAGCGTCATTCTTCCAACTCATTCATCTAATGTTAGAAAGTTGTTACCATCTATGGAACCTCTTAACAGCTACCAAAATAGATAGATGGATGGATGGATGGATGGATGGATAGATAGATAGATAGATAGATAGATAGATAGACCCCAAACAAAAGGCCAACCTTTAACATCCAGTGTTAAATTTCTTAATTGTGAGCCCACTTCATTTTTAGATTCACATTCATATACTCCTGCATCCTCCAGCTGCACCTTGAGGATGGTGTACGCGCCATCTATAGATTTCAGCACTGTGTCTCCTGTCTCTGCTTTCTTCTTCAGGATTATCCAAGTTTCTGGAATATTTCCACATGTGCAGGAGATAATGACAGTGTCTCCTTCCTTGACACTCTCAGAAGGAAACACTGTAAGCTGTATGTCTTTTGGAGCAACTGAAAAGAGAATTTAAAAGGAACCTCTGAATGAGTGAAGTATAAGCTAATTTCATATTGATATAAGGACATCAACCAGAGCTTCCACGGACCTATTTGTGTTTGCAGGAAATGTTAAGAAAATCAGGTAAAGAAGTCAAGCATTTGCTGAACTGTTGTAAATGATCATGCCTTAAAGAAGATGCATCTTATGCTTCATTCATGTCTCTTAACATAATTCTTTACCCAGACTAGCACTATTTGATGTAAGTAAATAGCTATAGAATTCAAATGTGAAATTTTTTTTAAAAAATCACACTATTTAACAAAAATTTCCTTGAGGAACAAAGGCTTTATATGCTTCTGAGTTTTGAGCTCGTTCCTCCCAGATCAAGAAATTTAGCTTTACAGAGGTGGCTTGTTATATCATTCTTAACAACACAACTACCATTTATCGAGTTTCAGGCTCTGGGCTGAGTGCTTGACATGCAATAACTTATTAATGCACCAATGCTTAAGGAAGTATTCTTAAGCATTTTATAAGTGAGATTCCTATTAAGGTCATCTATTTTGTGCCTTCATTTGAGTCTCATTCCCCATCCATGGCCACAATGCCATGGCATTATCCTGTGGCTTTTCTTTAAGGTTGCACATTGCTCTTTCAAGGTTCTTCCTTAAAAATACAAATCTTGTTGTGATGAGATACCTTAGGGGGAATAATCCCAAGGGGTACAAAAAGAAATGACAATCCTGGTGAAGAAAATAACTCTGATGCCCAAAAGGGAAGGTATAGGAAGCAACCCAAATTGTTCACTTCATTATGCTCATAACTGCCAATGGCATCTGTGTGCCAAGTAGAAATTATTTTGTTCTCAGTCTTGGGTGTCTATCCAGGAGAGAAGAGGCCTGTATCTGATGACTTGATCTACTCCAGTGGTTCCGTGCCAGGCTAATGAACCAACCAGAGGGCACAGTCTCTGCTATTCTTAATCTCAGAATTTACAAAAGGTGCTTCTTAGGCTTCTAAGCAAATACCAGCAGGCATCTTGTGAGATCTTCCCTCAGGACCAAATTCAATCAAAGATGTCACTCACTTTGACCATGGAACATGGATGAAGAAACACTGTAGGACTCCCAAACTCGGGCCTTTAAGAGGCAGCTATGATTACCCCCTTCTTGAAACAATGTGCTATGACAAATCAGCTTAGGCTACCTTCCCTAAGGATGATGTCAAATGAAGAAGGGAGGCACAGGCCCCCAGATATAGCCCAGACATGTGAGCGAGGCCATCTGTGACTGGCCAGCCTTGCTGATCTGACTGAAAACAGATGAGTGACCCCACACTGAGCAGAATAAATGCCCAGCTAGCCCATTTCCTAATGCCAACTCAAAGATTCATAAACAAATGGTCATTATTTTACACTTGGGGAGGTAGTTTGTTAGGACCACCTTTATTTTGAATTTTCTTATCTGTTATTTTTTCAAAGTTTTTAACTATTAACTTTATGTTAACTATTGCCTGACAAACATGATAAAGAAATCTATACTAACCTGTGGATACATGTACTTACCATTGACATAAAGCGTCTGTGTACTCTGCCTTTGTTTGTGTTCAGATTCCATTTCACCAGTATGTAACTTAGCCCGACAAACAAGAACTTTTCCAGTATCTTCAGTGGTGGGGGTGAAGGTTACTTCCAAACTTTTGGTCTCTAGGGATTTCCTATCCATTTCCTCCAAAAAGTTTTTTTTCATCAGAATAGTCTCCCCATTAAGTAATTCAATCTCCAAATGGTCAAAAGGGTACACATTAGGAACCCTGCAGCTTACAGTGACGGGGTTCCCATTCACAAGTAGACCACTCATCTCAATTTCTGGATCTCTAGGGAATGCTGCAAATATCAAGAAAAAGTAATGTTTGTATGTGTTATTCAAAGGGAAATAAAGTTAAACTCTATTTGAATGCCAGCATCTCAAAATTACAGCTTTAACTTAGCTGGGATAGAATTATCATCAATACATAAAAATGACATTAAGTATAAATACATAATTAAAACATTAATCACAATATTGGGAACAAAAATACTTAGTACATTAAGTCATCAAGTAATAAATACTTTTACTTCTTATTTTTCTCTTCTAATGATGCCATCTTGCTGAGCACATGGGCTGATATTATCTAGGGACACATCAGCTTCTATCATCTCATATATTAACTATTTCTTTTAAATTTCTTAAATATTTGTCATGATATATTGACTACTTGTTATGAACTAGTCCTTCAACATTCATTATCTCAGTCTTTAGGGCAGCAATGGATACTACTTAACTTATTTTATGGTTAGGAAAACTGAAACTTAGGCTAAAAGACTTTTCATTATACATCATACCTAGTGTGTCATTGAGCTGAGCTCAAACTCCCTGTTCCTCTTACCTCAAAATCTAGACTTAGTTTCACAGGTCTATGTAGTATCTCAGTGTCAAATAAGACCCACAGGGAAGTTCTCAATTTAGACATCTTAATATCTAATGATTATTTAGGCAGTGAGTTTAAAACATTTCTCAGATAATAGTTGTAATTAAGAAAAGAACTGTCTTAACTGTATTATTTAGAATTTAGCCTATATAGTAACATATCATATATAAATCAATAAAAAATGAGACTAAAATACTTATCAAACATAAGAGTGACTCTAATTTATTTTTTCTTTCAGCAAAATGATTCAGTTGTTAAAATAAAACATCTTTAAGTATTTCCATATTGCAATAGGACTTCACCCCTGGTTCTCATTTCTGCTGGGAATGTGCTACATCAGCAGATCCTGGACTCTGGGTAATATGATAAAGCAATAAAATTGACCCTTCTTTTGAGAGATTAAGTCCCTTTACAGGCATACTCTCATTCTGAATAAAATCCCAAAGGATAACACAAGTTAGGGCATAGTTTCTGGTTAAAAAAAAAACAAACTTTATAATGAATTTTCCTTGAGTTTGCTGAATGAAACCAAGAAAAAAATAAATTTTTGGTCACTTTGTATATTTTATTTCTCATTCATTACAGACTGAGAAACTCCAGAAGTGTCAAGTTCATAGAGATTTGATGTTATAAAGGATATTTATTAAGGTGGCAAGAAGAGTGAAAAAAAAGGTGCAGTATATACTTGTTCGAGTTTTGCCTAAAGCTTTCATCAGTATTAAGACCTGGTGTTGCCTCCTGCTTCTGCTTCAGCAGAAACCTGAGCTACTACCATTGATCAGTCTACTCTGCACCTTCCTTTGTGGCTTTTCCCTGCTTCCCATTTCTTCATTTCTTTTTCCATCCTGCAGATCAGCTTTCCAAATTATTCCTTTAAAACCATAAGCTCAGATCTGGCCCTCAATTTAAAGAGCTGAGCAGTGGTCACCCCCACCCAGTTATCTGAAGGTACACTGGCCCCATTCCCTCACCACCTCCATACACTCCACAAACACATAGAAGGGATGGGAAGCAGGGTCATAGGGTGTGACAAAAAGTGTGATGAGACAGTACCACAAGACCCACTAAGGACTGTGCCCACTGTGTCCATATGTAATATATACTTAAGATTTAGGCAAAGTACATCACATCAAAACACCTTGTGTCAGAGATTTAAGAAGCATTCACAATGCTACATTCCCTTTCTGAACAAATGAATCTCATTGCACATCACAGATTCACATTCTTTTTTTATCCAATGGGACTGAACAACAATTCTGAAAACCACTTACAGTAGAGCTCCACTCTGATTCTTTTTTCCACTTTCCTCCGTCCACAGGTGACAGTGCACAGGTAAGAGTGTTCGTTCTCAAAACCCACAGGGCTCAGGGTCAGTGTGGACTCCGTCCCTTCACTTGTCACCATCCCGCTCAGAGGGCTATCTATCTGGGTTCTCCAAGAGAAAGATGGGGACTCACAGCCTGTGACACGGCATGTTAGCACAACTGAGTCCCCTATCTGAGCAACAACCTGAGGTCCAGGGAAGATGTCAACAGTAAATGGTTTCTCTGCAGGAAAAAAAAAAGAACAAGACACAGAGCCAATAAGACTCATTTCTTCTTTCGTCACATTCCCACATATGATCTTTATTTTTCCTGATCTTGCTTTAGCCACTATCTGTATCAAGAAGAAATCACTCCCTTCCATCAGGAAAGAGACTACATCTTTTAGAATGAATCCGTGAGAGTCTCTCAAATCAGACTTAGCATAAATGTAGATAAAAATGTGTTGAGAGAGGTTGGTGTCTTTTCATGGCAATAATACTATCTCTGCTCAGTTGTTTATCAGATCACTGCAGGAGTAAACAATAGGTCAAATAATTTCAATGGTTCCTGTGTGTCAAGTCCACATACAAGTCATTTAATCCCCACAACAGTGTTGTGAACTTGTATTACTTTATTCTCTGCCTTTTTGTTTTCCTTCTGCTTCTCCTCTTTCTCTTCCTCTTCTTTGTCCTCTTTCTCTTTCTTCAGGAGGAAATTTAGGCTCAGAAATGTTAAATCACTTAACCCAGCTTGCAAGTGGCAAAACTAGGACTTGATGCAAGGTAGATGTGATTTAAGATTTCGGCTTTGCTGTTGCTAGAACAACTAAATCAAGACATCTTCATACAGAGATCAAATAGATCTAAAGGAGGTACTATCCCGCCCCCCCAAAAAAGCCTCTAATTAGACAAAATCTCCATAATGGATCCATGCCCAAGGCGTCTCTGTTCCATCAACCTGAAGTTATTACACCTTAAAAGTCACGTAGAATCATGTTTAAAGCAAAGCAAAAATTTACATATCAAAATGATAACACAAGTCACTCTAAAATGTATTTGATGTAATCTAAACATTTTTGCAATGAATTGAGGGGGCAGAAGCAGAGGTGAGGGTGAACTCCCTAATCTCAAATGTCCAGGAAAGCTCTCAGGTGGCCAATGCTATCCCTGCTAGACACACAGTCTTTGATGGAATAATGCTACTTTGGGAGAAAGAGAATTCTTAATCTTGACTCTGGTTCCCTAAAGAAACTGGGGGTGGTTGGGTAACTCTGAAAGTGACAGATGAGAATCCCACAGAAAATCAGTAAAATCTTCCTCACTGTTTGTTCAGCAGGCTAGAGATGGAAGAAAGAAATTGCAACACATAAAAATTCCCAATATACTACATTTTGCATGGTTCTCTTCTGTGTCAGGAGAATTTACTTTTTTTTCAATTCGTTTGTATAAATGTGATATCTCAATATTTTCCAAAGAAAGCTCTCTTCAAATTACCTCAATAAACTAATATACGATTAGATTTTGAAAGATCATTCAGAACAATGATCAAAGTTTCCAAATTCCTCATATGCTAGTGTGAAAATGAGGAACTTTAACAGCAGATTCATTTCCTGCCTACCAACAATTCTGGCTATATATATTATTTTGTGAACTTGTGGCTCCTGGGAAGTGTCTCTCTTAGGTAGATGAAAGGTCCTTTGAAAGTTCAATTCCATCTTCAGTACTTAAGGCTGTTAGTATCATATGTGAAGCAAAATGCAAAACAACTCCCCTCAACCCCATAACACATCTCCTTGACATATTGAAATGGGATCCAGCTTATTATGAGATGGAGCTATTTCAGGATGGATGTTTAGCTCTATATACTTTCATTAGTATAATATTTTTTTCTGGTCACTTGAGAATGAGTTAGTCTACAGGATTTTTTTTTTTTTAATCACCCAAGCTTGAACTCCATATTTTCATATTTTAAAAATTTGTGTTGTCAATATTTGAAATTTATTCATTGAACATTTACTGAATATTCATTGTGTGTCAGGTACTGTGGTCGGCACTCAAATATAAAACACATATGCATAAACACTGAGGGTCCTCGACTTGAAGGAACTTCCAGTTTAATGGCAAACATATTTAAATAGACCTATTATTTTGGTTCTCACTAAAGTACATTCCTGCCTCTCCTTCCTAGTTTGTAAGCTCCTTTGGGGCAGTAACCCGCATTTTATCAGGCCCGAATCCCCACCACCAAGCAGACTCTTTGATTCTTGAGTAAAGCCTCTTAATTAATATGTGTTGAACTGGACAGAAGTACATACATCACTATAAGAAGTATTGAGTCTATCCTAATGAAGGAACCACTAGCTTTGCCTGACACAATCTGGAATTTGGAGGTTTACACACATTTCATCATGAAGGATGCCTAAGACTTTGCCAGGTGGAGGAAGGGGAAAGCCTATTCCAGGAAGAATAACATGAACAGTGACACAGAATCATCAACTACGCTAGTTTCTGACCAGATCGTGAAGTTATTATATGTGGCTATTTTAAGAAATGTACACAGAGTTACGAAAAATTGTGCTGTATATGGGTAATAATGAGTGTAATGCATTCCACTATTGTCATGTATTTAAAAAATAATTTAAAAAAAAAAAAGAAATGTAGTTGAAGTTATAGAAAAGTCCAAGTGAAAGAAGATAAACTAAGGCATGTCAAGAGGGTTGATTAAGACATTAGATCCTAGGGATCATTTTGAGGGAGAGGATTTGGTGATACAAACTGGGAGCATGAATTTGGGAATAACCAGTATATGTATAATATATCTGGGTATCGAGAGTGAGAAGAAAAGAGGGCGAGGAGTGGTAAATTGAAAATACCAATGTCTACAGGTCAGGAGAAAGACAGAAAGCCACGGAATGAGGCATGGGAGAGATGCTGTTACAAAAGGTTCAAAAAAGCAGAGCCAGGGAAGCCCCGGGAGGAAAGACTGCCAAAAAGCAAGTATAATAAATACATATTCATACTCTAGTACATGACAATCAGACAGATAACCAACGAAATGTTGGGAAGCAACCTCAGCACCGTTGGGAAGCAACCTCAGCACCAAAGCCATCTCATTGTTGCTCAGATCTCAATAGAGCATCCTTTTGCACATTCCACTCACCTTCAACGATTAATTTCACCTCTTTTTGGCTTCTTCCAATAGAATTAACTCCTTCACATACATATGTTCCAGAATCTTCCATCCTCATAGCAATTAAGGTGAGAGTCTCATTACCAGAAAGAAGCTGTAGATTCTCATTATCTAATTTCTTGTTCCAGATAATCTTTGGAGCTGGCAGACCCTCACTGGAACATGTCATTGTCACAGAATCACCTTCTTGCAGCCTTGTGGAGGGATGCACGGAGATAATTGTATTCTTGGGTGAGACTGAAAAAAACAGGGCATCATATTAGCAATCACAAACCATCTTTTCAATCCAAAACAGAAGATGGACTTCTCTCCTGTGCTTCTGTTGACTTGACAAACTTACTTTCCCAAGATAGCATAAAGAACTGCTGAGTCACTAAAAGATAGTCAATCTAATTTCTGAACAACTCGATTACCTTTTTAAAAAATGTTTTGTGTTTTCAGATTGCCATAGATATTCGTAAGTTAAGAAGGGCCCTTAGAGTCATGTGGCTCAATCTCCCACCTAAGAGCCCCATCTAAGCATCCTTACCAAAAGCTCATCCTAGTCAGTCAGCCTCAGTATTTTCTGAGAAAGGCAACTCATTGCCGTATCAAACAACCTATTTGATTTTTAAGTATCTTAAATTAGAAAAAAAAACAAAACATTTTCCCTGAGTTGAAATCTTTCTCTTCATAACTGGCTTTCATACATTGGTCATAGTTCAGTCCTCTGATGTTACAAGACAAACTAAATCCTTCTGTCACACACAACTGTCTTTCAAATACTTAATTAAAACTCCTCAAGTGTTTCATTCCTATATTGACTGTTCTCATAACATTGTTAGAAGCCATTCCAACTCATTCTCTTTGGGCTAAATATATTATTGTTGGCACTGTTCCCCTTCATAACTGGCTTTTACATATTGGTCATAGTTCAGCATTTCAAGGCATATTATAAAACATGATTAAAAATATTTTAACATTTAAGCCTGTTTTCTACTTCCTAATCAGTACTAGTACATCCCCTTTTAATAGGAAATAAATAAAGTAACCCTAAATCATGCATTTGATCAAGCCCAAAATTAAGTTCAAGTCGTCTTAATCCAAATCCATGTTCTTTTCACTGGATTATACTATTAGAAAGCATCATGTTTTCAATAAGTAAAAATGGAGTAAAAACTACAAAAAAGCTTCTTGTTAGCCTAGTTGCTAAGTTTATCGCGATCTACATTCAAGACTGAATTCCCATACAAACTAGACCATGTGACTTACTATAGACTTGCAGTTCTTTGGTAGTCTTCCTTTCTTTGTGCACAGATTCAGTTTGATCAATGAATAATTGAGCTCGACAATCAAGAGCTTTTCCCGTATCCTCCATGACAGGAATAAAGGTTACTTCCAAACTCTTGGTCTCCAGGGACTTCCTATCCATATCTTCCAGAAACTCCTGATTCTTCATGAGATGATCATCTTTCCATAAACCCATCTCCAGCCTGTCAAACGGGTATACATCAGGGATCAAGCACTTGACTGTGACCTGCTTCCCGACCTCCGGAAGACCACTAAAGTGAATTTCTGGATCCTTAGGGAAAGCTGCAAACACAAATGGATACACAAGTGGGCCTCCTGCTCATATTTTTAAGATCTCTTCTAACACTATACAAATCAAATCTAATGTTTTTGTTCACATAATCTTAATACTACAGCAGAACTAACAGTTTAAATAGATTTTTTTTATGATTTTAGGTGGGCTCAAGAAGCAAGAGTCAGAATAAACCACCTATTAGAGAATTCTTCTATTCTGATCCTGTATGTATTAAATATTGTATGTTATTAAAGGAAAGTAGAAAAACTAATGCTTATTGAAACTTACATGTACCTGTCACTGTGCTATAGATTTAAAATAAATGGTTTATCCTCACACAAGCCTTGAGACAGAGACCACATTTCACAGATTATAAAACTTGGACTTAGTGTATTTGCATAACTTGCCTGAGATCACACAGCTAATAAAGGGTACTGCAGATAATTCTCTTATTTTAGTAAAGGCAAACATAGCTCCATTTTACAGATAAGTAATCCAAAGCTCAGAATGTGATTGCAAAGTTTAACTATTCTATAAGCTATGCTGAGAAATGGAAAGAGTGGCTTTAAATATTTGGCTTCTGAAAATGGTGCCTTAAGCATTCATCCACCAGGAAGGAACACCTGTGCAGTCTTTCAATTTTGGATTGGCTGCCTGAGATGCCTAACTCAATGCCTCAATCCATACTCCACTGACCCTTTTAGTGCAAAGGAGCACAGCATCCATTGCCTCCTTTGCCAGAACTACCTTTTCCATTACATTCTATCACAAGGGCAACACGTTAGTGGTTTCAGGATCTGTGTAGTGAGAAGAATACAAAAGTCCCAAGTCCAAAGAATATTACAATCAAATGTGGAATGGAGACAGGACTGTTAAAACATAATGAGAAGCAGACATTCTCGGAGAAAAACCTCAGGCAAGATAATTAAAGCCAGAAGGGTCTTCATTTCTCTTTTTTAAATCTTCAACTATTTGGCGCTTGTGGGCAAAAGACAAAGGAACTGGAAGTGTTTTGTTATCTAAAAATATAGTATTTTTAATTTTTTCACCCATTATTTCAGTCCTTTACATTCTATTAAAAATGCTCCTATAATCCATCCAGTTTTATGACAGGTAATATAAGAACTTGCTACTTTTCCCTCTATTTATATAAGGGGACCTTTGAAGGCACTCAGGAGGCTGCGCAGACATAAACTATGCGTGTACAACCAGCATAATTGAAAGCAGTTGGCCAGGCACAGTTTCTTGGGAAGCTTTAGCAACACATGGGTCTTGTTGAAATTTCAGTTAAAGTTACTGGGCAAAGGTGGGCTCCAACACAGTAGAAAGGAACCAGTGTAATTCATGAAGAAAATCAAATGAGGTATTCATAAAGAAATGACCTTATGGGAGTACAGTGTTTTAGAGAGGCCATAAGTAACCAAGGCAAATGACTTGTGCAAGGTTAGTTTTTACCAGCCTTTTGCCTCTTGCTAATTTTGCTGAATGGAGAGCAATTTACATTTGTGAGGCAAATCTAATTCATTATACAAATACCTTTGAGGATCAGCACCGGGACTTTATAGCAACAGCAACAAGAATTCTTAAATTTATGGACATAACATCAAATGAATAAAATGTTTGCAGATATTTACTATCATGCCCAAGGAGAAAACTTTTATACTGAAGGTTATTACTAAATTATAGATCTTCTATTTAATTTTAAGCTGATTTTAAGCACCATTGCATAAGGATAAATGAATGAAAAATCCCCATAGGATGGAATTCATAAATCACTTAGATGCATGAGCAAGTAAACATGTAAGGATATAATCAAATGGAAATTTTTTAAGATAAAAAAAGACCCTTAGAGGTGTTCATTTAATAGCTAAGGAAATTAGAGCCAAAAGAACTTGCGTTTTATGCATGATCACCATGTTTGTGGCAGAGATGAAACAGAAGCCAAAATTTGGATTCCTGATTTCTAGTGTCTGGCCTCAGCTGTCTCGCGCTTTCTCTCTTTAAAAATAAAATAATTTATTTGTTCTAATCTAGTTATACATGACAGCAGAATGCTCTTCGAGTCATTGTTCATAAATGGAGCACAATTTTTCACTTCTGTGGTTGTACACGAAGTAAAGTCACACCGTTTGTACAATCATACATGCATCTAGGGTAATGTCTAGCTTTCTTGATGCTATGTTTTCAAGCCAAGAATCAGGATATTAATATCTTTTAAAGACTTCTTTTTTTTTTTTTTTGGTGGTGGTGGTACTGGGGGTTGAACCCAGGCCTGTGCATGCTAGGCAAGCATTCTACCAACTGAGTTATATCCCCGGCCTAAAGACCTTTTCTTTCTTTTTTTTTTTTAATATTTATTTTTTAGTTTTCGGTGGACACAATATCTTTATTTTTTTTTTATGTGGTGTTGAGGATCAAACCCAGCGCCCCGCGCATGCCAGGCGAGAGCGGTTACCACTTAAGCCACATCCCCAGCCCCAAGACATTTTTCTTTAAAAAGCTATTTTAAAGCAAAATTGAGAGAAAACCAAAGATTCTCTAAAGCACTCACAGTAGATCTCCACCTGGATTCCTTTTTCCAGTTTCTCAGATCCGCAAGTTGCTGTGCACAGGTAAGAGTGTTCATTCTCAAAACTAACAGGATCCATGGTCAGTGTGGACTTTGTGCCCTCATTCCTCACCTTCCCATTTAATGGACTGTCTATCTGGGTTCTCCACGAAAAAACTGGAGACTCACAGCCCGTAGTGCTGCAAGTCAAGGAGATGGAGTCACCAATCTGAGCAAGAATCCTGGATTCAGGAGAGGTCTCGATTTTAAAAGCTTGAGCTACAAAAACAAAGAGAAAAATGAACATACCACTGGTTTGTTTAGTATTCTACTCCCTCTTCTCTGTTATAATATAATGTTCAACTTGTGACCTTATGGATCTTTTTCCAGCTTTAAACTAACCACAGGCAGCCGCCAAAACACACCAAAGTCACCACCAAAGATAGTGTTGGGATTATCTTTACTCAGGACTCTCAGTTCTGACCTTGAGGCCCATTTATCAGAGTTGTTTTGTTATTTGCTGAGTTTGACTTCATTATCAAGTATAGGAAACTAAAGTGATAGTCCTACTACAGATAAAACCAAATTACTCTTTCACTTTAGAAAACAGGCATCAAAAAACATCAATTTGCAGCTGTCACTATGACAGTATAATGGCATATAGCAAAACTCAATAGCACATTAAAAGTTAGGTTAAATGAAGTTTCCCCGTTGTTTAAAATTCTAGTGCCTTCTTCCGCTACCACAGCAAAACTGAGTGAAGCCAAAACCAAGGCTAAAATGGAATGCTAACATTTGAAACAGATCAAGAAGAACTTACAAGCTGCAAACACCATCCAAAATATATTCGAGGCTCCAAAGATCACAACAGGCATTTTAAGTTGCTGCCGTGATGAGAAAATCATGGTTCCCAAAGTCGTATTTCTGTCACACCTGAAAGTGCCTGGGAAGAGTCTTCCGCTCCTAAAGCCAGTGAGGCTCAGTGTGAGTGAAATAGAAAGTCTGCTCTTTATAAAGGGTCTTGTTGAAGAGGCGGAGGGAAATCCCTTCAAGGGGAAACCCGGGGCAGAGCCAGGGAAAAAAGTTTAACTGACAGGCAGCCAAGCCCCAGCATTAACCCCTTCAGTTGCTCTCAGTGTTCAAATGTCTGTCACAGGAAAACAGGACACTTTCAGGACTTAAATTGCAGGATATCTTTCCTGGAAAGATAAAAGAATGTTCATTTCAGAAGCTGTCTGAGTCCAACCAGGGAGGGGGTGTTAAATTCCACTTTTTGACTGGATGAATAACCGCTGTCAATGTGAACTGATTTCTTTATTGTAAAATATATTTGCAACTTTAAAATAGAGATTAAATGTTCTCATACAAGAAAAAGGAAAAAGTCTTCTCTTGTGATGCCTTATTTTTTTAAAAAAGGGGAGACAACATAACTTCTTAATTTTATACTTTAAATTCATAAAAATACTTCTTTTGTTAAAAAAAAGTCAGTTATCTGATATAACTTTCTTGAGTGGAAAGGAATGTAAATGCGTTTTGATGCCAAAATACAGGAAATCATTTTCCTCTGTTGTGTCAGAAAAGGTACCAGCCCTCTGCTTCAATTGCTGGAGAAATGCAAGTCTTTTGCAGACTTAAATACAAATGTATGGGGTCCATCTGATAAGTTTTGTATGGTGAATCTCTTCAGCTATGCGATTTAGTCACAAACCTAGTTAAAACATGAAAAATAATTTGTTTTTGTGATAGGAGAGGAATTATCCTCTTTATTTTTATCCAATTTTATATTTTTTTTCTTCCCAGTGAAATGACTTTTTTAAAGTCTCAACTAGCTGTTTCAGTATTGCATACACATAGCCCAAGTTCTGACAGAATGCTTGCACATCAAAAAGAAACCGGAACAGCCACTTCCTTGCATTGAACATGCATATGCAGGTCTACCTCCCGCATTGGATTATCAGTTCCTTTCATAGCTAGGACCAGTCCTTGCTCATCACTGGATTTACTTTTACAGTACCCAATGCATGGTTTTGCATTTGGTGGACACACAAAAAATGCAATAATAAATTGCAAATTTGGAAAAGAAATTTCCAAATACTAACAATAATACACAAGTACTACACGAGAACTCCTACAAGAAAATTGCAAAGTTGCCAGACTCATAAGTAGTACTGTACTATGTGACAAAGCCTGTAACTGAGCTGTGGAATCTACAACTGTCCTCACATGACTAGAGAGGCTTCTGGGCCTCCTCCTGGTTCCACTAAGAGGCAAGGAGATAAAAAATCATGGAATAATCTATTTCAGGACTATGGTGATATATAAATGTAACTCACCTACCAAAGGTCTAGGGATCAGAAAAGTGGATTCAAACAAAATTAACTGGTAAATGAGTAACCTGGTGGTCTTTCACAATAATGGTGTTGTAAAGATTATTAGCATCAGCTAAATTCACTATTCAACTTCAGTGACAGATCAAGAGTGTGAGGGAGTTTTAATACATTTCTCTGAAGCTCAAAGCCAAATGACTGACAGGATCCCAAAGAGGGTCACTATGACCAAGTCCTGATACTTTACTTCAGTTCTGAGTTTGGGTATGATTCCAAGCTTGAAACTTTGGAAAAGTGCCTTATCTATTTATCTAACCCCTAGTGGTATCTACAAATATTTGATCATGTTCTTTATTATATCTTTGATTTGTATGACATCTGAGGTTTTACCTTTTCCTACTGAGTTGAGTTGATCACTCCCTCTTCAATGGCCTAATTACCACTAGAACATACTGGGGAAACACCTTGTATGCTACAGTTATTTGCTACTGCATCTGTCTTTCCTAATTTTCTAACTCATGGTTATATTTTTTCACTTCAGCATCTAGTCCAGAATTAGGCACATATTAAAATTTGTGGAATGAATGAATGAATAGTGTTATAATATAAGATTGACTGATTGATCAACTTAATAGCATTACTGGGTTTTGTCTTTGAACTTGTTCAGTTTAACATTTTTATCAGAAACATGGGACACAGGATTATCTAATTTGTTCATAATGTGAGGCTGGAAAAGATCATTAACTTTAAAAGTGACAGAATCAAGCAAAGGAAGATCTCAAAGGATGTAATTTTGGTCCAGATGATGAAGTCAAATTTCATAAGAATGAATGCAATTCCAGCAGCTAAGTATAAAATATCCAGTTGTCGGATACAGTATAGGGAAGATCTGATTTGGTCATCACCCATAGGAAGACGGTCTGGTGGTTTTAGTTACTCATAAAACAAACATGAGCCAATATCCACCAATGAGAAGGCTGAATTACTATGAGAACCCAAACTAGCTGTGAAGAGCACTTGCTGCACTCGCAGTATCAACCTTCTAATTGTGGGAGGCCATGGTCTCTGAGCACCAGAGCAATGGCCAGGCCACTGTGGGAGCAGGGTGTCTGATTTGGGATGCCATCCTTTAAAAGAAAGACTAACATAATAAATGGTTCCTGAGAAAAGTCATGAGGATGGTGGACAGCTCCATATCACCACTACATAGGAGCTATTGAAGGAATAGGACGCATTTTGTTTGGAGAAGGACCTACAAACCAATGTGATAAATGATTAATGAGAAGGGAATGTTATTCCAAAAGCTAAAAGGAAGACTCATGAAGTAGTTAATTATTTGCTCGAGGAGGGCCAGAAATGTGTGTGTCTTGTTCACCATTAGAGCTTTAGCACTTTACATAGTGACCAGTAGGAGGAGGAGCTCAGGTAAACCATTTTTAAATGAATAAATGATAAAAATCTGAAAGAAAGTTTGACTCAGAGCTCTAAGTTCAAATCTAGAATCTCTACCTAGGAACTGGGAAATCTTGCACGAGTGCACATAACTTCTCTGAGCAGTTTTACAAATGCTCAGTTGGAGATAATAATACCGTTCCAAATGATTCACATGATTTCATAACTGTCAAATGCAAACTGAGCTTATGATCTCTTTAAAGAAGTATAGCAAAGTACTATAATGAGATATACTATGATCATGAGAAAGACAGACTTTCCAGCTATTAAATCTCTTCAACAGAGCCATGGATGGCCTCGTGAATTCAATAGTTAAAAGCCACTGGGAATGTTCAAGCAAGGTTAGATGACATCTCTTAAAAATGTGGCAGAGGTCAAGTTTTTCCCTGGACAGGGTATCTGACCAGATGGCTGTAAATGTGCCTTCTGATGCTAAGATGGTGTTATCACCATCAGTGCCACCTGTCTAGCCCAGCATTACCAGTCCCCTCACTGCT